AACCTTGTTGTGTTGTGTCTATTTGGAAGAAATTCTGTCCACCTCCACTTGTCTATTTCCTCCATAACTAAATTCGGATGATCTCTCCAACCTGGATTGACGTGTTGGAGTAAGGATCATGTTGCTCGGGGGCCAGAAAAGTTCCTACTGTGTTGACTTGTAGTCCTCCTCTGAAGTGTTGGGCAATGTCCGTTTGGTGTCCCATTGTCGAACATCCCACAAGCTTTTACTTGTTGCGCATTCCCTATAGCCAATTGTCTAACAAGAGAGGTAAGATCAAATAATTGTTGTTCAATGGAAGATGTACTTACTATCACCTTTTTGGTTGGCACATCATGTCTTGTACCAATTGTTGGGAATTGGCAGCCATGTTTGAGATTAACGTTTGGCAGCTTCAGGAGTCTTATCTACCAATGCACCTCCACTGCTGCATCTATCATATTCTTTTCCATAGGCAGCAATCCTTCTAGAGATACTGAATTAGCAATTGATCACTTTCTGGTGGTGAGGACAGCTTGCACATAGCTTCTGAATCGCTCCAATATTCATACAACGTCTCTCCATTATATTGCCTTATCCCATATATCTCTTTCCTGATAGTGGTAGCTCTAGATGCTGGGAAATATCTTTCTAAAAAAATCCTTTTTCATCTCATTCCATGTTGTGACGTCCCCGATGGTAAATATAGAGCAATCCTTTACATCATCCCCCAACGAAAAAGGAAAAGCTCGCAACTTAATCTGCTCCTCTATCACTCAGTCGGTTTCATGCTTGAACAGACAACGTGAAACCCTTTAGATGTTTATTGGATCTTCACCTGCACGCCACGGAATGTAGGCAACAAGTGAATTAGACCAGACTTAAGTTCAAAAGCAACATCTAAAGTAGGGTATTGAATACACAAAGGTGTGATTAAAATCAGGGGCAGCCACTCCTTTAATGTTCTGCCAGCGGCATTCTTCTTATTCTCGAATCTGGATCAGGATGAGCTGTGAGATGCTGAACCAAGGGCTATATTTAGATCAGGAGATGAAGAACTTGCTTGACGTGACTCTTTCGCAACTTCCGTAAACTGCGTTCGATTTTGGATCAAATTCCATCCTTCTAGTCTTGCTCAGAATGTCGTTTTCTTTGAATGGATACTTGCAGCATCCTAGTTCAACCAAAATTTCTCTTCGGAACAAATAAATAGTACTATTTTTTTTTTCAAAAACCTAAAAATCACAATAAACAAAATAAAATAAATTAAATTAAAAAAACACCTAAGCACTGATTAAAGAAAATCACAAAAAAAAAAAAAAAAAACATAGAATATATAAAAACAAATCGACAAATACCACTCCCTGGCAACGGCGCAAAATTGGTAGCGTGCGAAGCACAAATTAATTAACCTTACTGACCTAACTATGAATTGTATAAAGGGCAAGCAAGGGTCGATCCCACAGGGATGACTCGATTAATTTCATATTCTAAAACAATAAAAACAACAGAAACGCAAATTAAATTCCAAATAGAAACACGACAACAGTAATGAAAGGGGTTTAATCAGGGCAAACAAAAGTAAAACAGAGAAATAAAATATCAGGTTAAAACAATCAGCTCTCGGTTCAAACTCACCCTAACATGCACTGGACATAAAGTACCGTAACACTGTTCTATCTCATCATTATGAAATACTGACCCTAGGAAACAACAAGCTTTGTTACCGAATTTCCCTTAGTTGTCACTACCGAAACAAGCTCTTCGAGTAGATACTAACCCTTGAACAACCTAGAACAAGCTCTCTAAATTTAATTCAATGGCAGCCTTAAGATTAGGAGAATAGATCAATCTAAGCAACAATCACGCAAGCTCGGATTATTTAACTTAGGTTAGTTATTCAAGACAATAGACGAAAACTTGTCCATAATCAGCTATCATCATGTGGACTCGTTGAATAGAAAAGGAACATTACGGATCAATTCTAATTTAACAGGTAAATTCTGATTAAACAATTTAGCAGGCCAAAACTAAATCACTCAAACAAGAATCACAAACATTAAAACAGAATAACATAAACAATTCCAATAAAAACGAGATTAAGAACAATGTTACTAGAGTCAGGTTACACCAATGACATGAAATTAGGCTTCAAAATCCTTGAACTGAAGAAGGAAATTAGCCGCCATCTTGATCTAGAACGCAAAAACTCTCCAAAATTAAAACTTACTGTCCTCCCCCATTAACCTAAAAAATTCTGATAAATAACATGTGTTTTTAATTTCTCCCAAGAATACGGAATTTCTTCTAGACGTTTCCTAGAAGATAGACTTCCAGATTTGATAAAATCTGATCAGATATGGATTCCAGAATTCGTCTCCAGCTTTCACCAGGATTCTCGCAATGTAAAAGATCTTTTCTGGGCTCCATCACTTCATAAAAATGTATTCTAGGATGTGTAGATGAATTTGGCTTTGAATCACCCGCTTTCGATATCCGACGCTCCAGTAGGCCCATTTGAAGATTCGATGCTCAGCTAAGGAATCCTTCTGCGACTAGGATTCTAGGTCCGGTTTTGCAACAACAACTGAAAACCCAAACGAACTCGGATTCTCACTAATAATACCTTCCTGAAAAGCTTGATTTGTCTACTTTAATTTTCTGAAGACCACTTTTGCAATGAGGAATCTATCTCCATGAAAAACCTGGAAAACTAGCACTGGTCAGAATAACGAAAAATCTGGAAAATCTGGAATTTCCTAATCTTTTATCACTTACTCCTAAAGTCTATCCAACTATGCCAAACTCACAAAATAAACTCTAACAATTCAAATAGCCTAAAACATAACAAAAACATAATATGGAAAGAATAAAAATATTCAATTACACTCTTATACTTCCTTAGAAGGTTTTAAATACTACATTCATTTCATTGATGACTACAGTAGGTTCATGGATGTTTCCCTTGGAACCAAAGCGAAGTTTAGTCCACTTTCATCAAATTTCACCATTTAGTTGAGAGACAACTTGGCTATAAACTCCAAATCTTTACAGTCTGACCAAGGAGGAGGTATAGGGGTCTAATACCTTATCTTACCATTGCTGGAATCCAGCTAGGCATTTTGTGGCTATGTCCACCAACAAAATGGGAGAAGTGAGAGGAAGCATAGACATATAGCCGAAATAGGCCTGACTTACTAACCATGGATCCATGCCTTTACTTTTTGGTGGTGTGCATTTGATACTGCTGTGTTCTTATTAATCGAATGCCTACTCCAATTTGAATTTTTTGTCCCCATATCAGGTTATGTAAAGTAGACCTCCTGTATATTCTGAGTTAAAAATTTTGGTTGTGCTGTGTTCCATTTAAAAATTCCATAAACACAAGTTGAATTCCATTCTCTAAATGGTTTTTCTGGGTTATAGTGTAAGTCATAAAGGTTACAAATGTCTTAGTTTAAAGGGAAAAATTGTCATTACTCCTAATGTTCAGTTCAATGAATTGGAGTTCCCTTTTGCTACTGGTTTTTGTCAACATTGTCTAGTTACTGGCCTTTTTACTCCAAGCAGTAGTCCCTCCTGTTCCTCTAGTTTCCCTTGTTGTTCATTCCTTTCTAATGGTACAACCAACAAAGCCTCCTCTACAGTGGACTGTTTGTTCCTAATCCTTCCCCACTACAACAAGTCAGCTCCTAGTTCTCATTGCAGGACATTGATAAATCTATACCCAGTCATCTATTCCTAAACCATCTTCTAAAATCAGTACCTCACTTTCAAATACTCCATCTAACAACCCTGATACTTATACTTCCTTATTACTATGTTCCATCTCTATTCCACATACATTCCATTAGAAATAGATCTATCTTGCTATCACTTCCCAATTCCACGAATCAAAAGATTCTATACCTTCAGATTATACACATCAGCCCAACACACACTGATCACTCTCTTGTTGTGATTAACTCTATCACAGTGTCTTCAAACTGAAATTCCTACCTATGCACCAAATCCTTTTCTCAGCCCTTATAATCAGCTATCATCAATTCTTGATCACTAATACAATCTTATGCTCACCAAATCCAAAACCAGAACTTTACCCATTCCATCAGAATCTATTCTGTGAATGAAATACCTGCCCTTGCTGCTTCTGTCAACCATAATCAACCTACAAACTAATCTGTACAGTGACTATAGCCTCTGACTTTGAACCCATAAACCAAACCAGCAACTCAATCTCAATGCCCTACCTTGGTCAAGTTCTCACCTGTTAAACCTAAAACTGGTACTGTGACTAAAGCTCTGCTTGTGATGAGTGGAAAAAGGCCATGCAAGATGAGTTATGCTCTTATAGGAATGAAACTTGGAGTTTAGTCCTCACACTTCTGATATGAACATAGTTGGTAATAAGTGGGTGTTTCGAATTAAGTTTCATGCTGATGGATCTCTCTAGAAATATAAGGCTAGACTAGTTGCTAAAGGATTTCAAAAACTCCTGGCTTAAATTATTTTGAAACTTTCAGCCCTGTTGTTAAACCAGCAAGCATTCGAATCATTTTCACATTAGCTATCCTATGGTTGGGATATTCAACAAGTGGATGTGAAAATGCTTCCTTAATGGTCATTTGAATGAAACAGTCTATATGAGACACCAGAAGGGTTTGAGTTCCTCACTTATCTTCCCATGTTGTAAACTTAACAAGGCTCTCTATGGTCTTAAACAAGCCCCAGGGCCTGGTTTGACAAAATGAAACAGCTTTGGTTCAGAAAGGATTTCAGAATTCAATATCTGATTCCAACTTGTTCATTCTCAAGGAAAACTCTCAAGTTTTATATGTCTCATATACGTAAACTGGTTCAAGTCATCTAGAAATCAGCAGCTTGTTCATGGTTTAACAGTCAATTTGCCTTGAAAACCTTGGGCCTGCATATATTTTTTGGGCTTAGAAGCAACCAGGTCAGCTGTGGGTCTGCACTTAAAACAAACTAAATATGTCCATGATTTGCTTGTGAAAACTAAGATGCAAGAGGCACATGCCTGTCCTACTCCCATGGCAGCAGGTACCAAATTATTTGCAGCAGATAGTGAGTTATTTAAAGACCCCAGCCTCTATAGAAGCACTATTGGAGCTCTACAATATGTCACCTTAACCAGGCCTGATATCAGTGTTACAGTAAACAAACTTAGTTATTATCTTTAGGCTCCTACTAAGCTCCAATGGCAGGCATGTAAGAGAGTCCTAAGGTATCTTAAAGGTACTCAATTCCATGGTCTGCTGTTTAGACCAACAGCCTCTCTTAATGTTGAATGCTATACAGATGTAGATTGGGGAGGTAATTTAGATGATCGACGGTCCACTAGTGGATATTGTGTGTATCTAGGTCCTAATTTGGTTCAATGGAGTTCTCGTAAGCAAAAAGTGGTGGCATTATCCTCTACGGAGGTTGAATACAGAGCACTAGCCCAAACAACAACTGAATTGGCCTTGTTGGACAGTTTATTTTCTGAAATAGGGGTGTTTTTAAACACTTGTCCTATCATTTGGTGTGACAATGTGAGTGCTGGAGCTTTGGCATCAAATCCAGTTTTTCATGCAAGAACAAAACATATTGAGATTGATACTCACTATATATGTGACCAAGTTCTTGCAAAAAAGATTATTGTGCAATATGTTCCAACCAAGCTTCAAATTGCTGATATTTTGACAAAAGCACTTTCCATGGTCAGTTGCAGGATTTGAAACACAAACTCTGTGTTGTTGAGATTCCACATTCAGAGGTTATAGTTGACAGTAATTCAGGATCATCTTAAATCTCTAATGCAGTATAACATTCTGCTAACATTGAATGTAGAAGCATCAGAAAATCTGTTGTGTGTTAAACTCCCATTGTGTTGGTGTTTTGTGATGCTGTTAGTGGTATGTTGATGAATGCTGCTAATCGTATGCAGAAGCATCAGAAGAAGTGTTATGTTTGAGCCACTAATGGTTTGTTGCTTTTGAGATGGTATTTTTGGTATGTGGATATGAATACTGTTTTTCTTGTTGTTTCAGAATGTTGTTTGCAGTATTGAATTGATGTTTGCGGTATGAGGATGTGAATACTGGAAATAAGTATTGAATTGAACTGCTGGTTGCAGTTGTTTTGAGGTAATAATTGTGATGTAAGGATAGGAATACTGGAGACCAGCATTGTGATTGTGATGTGATGAATTTAGTAAGACCTGCTGGATGATTGTAGGAGATGTTAATGCTAGATGTTGGTAGAATCTGGTAGTGTGATAGTGAATTTAAAAAAAGTGCAGAATGTGAAGAAGTTGAAGTGTTGAATGTGATGAATTTAGTAAGATCTACTAGATGTTAATAGGAAATGCTAATGCTGGATGTTAGTAGAATCTAGTAGTGTGATGGTGAATTTAAAAAAAAAAAAAAAAGAGAGAGAGAAAAGTGCAAAATGTGAAAAAGTTGAAGTGTTGAATGTGATGAATTTTGTAAGATCTGCTGGATGTTAGTAGGAAATGCTAATGCTGGATGTTAGTAGAATCTAGTAGTGTGATGGTGAATTTAAAAAGTGTAGAAGAGTTTAAAAAGTGCAGCTAGTAGTAGAAGCAGTCTAGTCATGTTGGTAAATTGATTGGTAAATACTGGATGTTTGAAGAAACTTGGTGGTGTGGTGATGAGTCTAATTGGAAAGTGCAGGAGTAGTCCATTTATGTTATTAAAAACAAGATAGTAGATGCAGTTTTTTTTTTTTTTTTTTAAAAAAAAAGCAGGAAGTGCAGAAAATGTCTGAAGACAACAAACTGAAGTCTAGAAGGCAATTCAGTAAAAATGTTGAAGTATTTAGCAACCGTAGTCCAGTCTGAGGGGGAATGTTAGCCAGACTGAAAAGAGGGCAGTTTTGTAAAACTGCAACTCCACAAAAGAAGCACGACATCGTTTTGAGAAGAGTAACTTTACTCTTCTGTTTATCATTGAAGCTAGGTTTATTCTGCAGCATTTTGTTCTCTCTCTTTCTTTGTATATAAAGAAACGAGTAATTGTAAAAGTGTATCTCTTAGAAAATTAATAATAGAGTTCACGAATTCTCAGGTTTTTCTTTTCAATTCTTTAGTTTCTCAGCAGCCTCCTCAGCTCAGACTAATTGCTGAATATAAGTATCGTTTTCAGATGTTGATATTGAAGGTTTATTAAAAAGAGAAGAAGCCCAAATACTAAATGATTCTTGTGGATGTTCGTCCTTATATTTTATGAGGACTTTTTTAGCACGAAGTTCAGTTTCAAGAATAATTTTGTTAATAGCTTTTGAAGAAATGGGTAAGGCATCGGCTAATTGAATTGGTGTTGGATTTTTAAGATATCTATTTAATTCCAAAAAATCATCAATTAAAAAATGAATTAAAACATAAGAAAACAGAATTAAGTGGATTTTGTAGTCAATATGGTCATGAAAAAATATTACCTCCCTCTATTAAGTACAAAAAGATAAAAAAACAAAAACAATATAGAAAACCTTATTACAAAAGAGATTATAAATACGAATAAAAATCTTATGATAAACCTTATAAAAAGAAAAGATCTTCTAACAAGAGAATATCCAAAAAACCTATCACATGTTGGAAATGTAAACAACAAGGTCATTATGCAACAAAGTGCCCTATGAAAAATCAAATTAAAAAATTAGAAATAGATTCAAAATTAAAACAACAACTATTAAAAATTATTCAAACAGACTCTGAAGAAGATTCTAGTTACAATATAGATAATGAAGATATGACATATCAAATTCAAGAAAATACTTCTGAATCAATGAGTGAGTCTTCACAAGACTCTGATGATTGTGATTGCATGGGGCCTTGCTACTGTGCAATGAAATCAATAAATATGATATCAAAATCTAAACCTAAGTCAATAAATGTTATCACCAAATCAAAAGAATTTTTATTAGATATTATTGACAAAATTCAGGATGAAGATATTAAAAGAGAATATTTATTAAAACTTAAAGAATTAATTTTATCTGAAGGAAAACAAAAAGATGTAGATTCTTACAATTTAAAAGACATATTCAAAAGATTTGATAAACCCACATAAGTTAGTTTAAGTGATTTGCAAGAAGAAATCAATATTCTGAAAAATCAAGTTAAAGAATTACAAAACGATAATATTGAAATCAAGACAGATTTATTATGTTTAAAAGCCTCCAAAGAAACTATAGGACAACCATCAACCTCAAAATCAGAATTAAAAATCATAGAAGAAACTGAAGAAGCATTTATTAATGAAATCTCTCGAATTCAATTTCAAAAATGGCATGTTTACATTAGGATCAATATCAATCAAGAGTTAGATCTTATTACACAAGCTTTAGTAGATACAGGAGCAGATCAAAATTGCATAAGAGAAGGATTAATTCCAACAAAATATTATGAAAAAACAAAAGAAAAATTATATGGAGCTAATGGTCAACAATTAAACATTAATTATAAATTATCTAATGCACATGTATGTATACAAAATTTTTGTATTAAAAGTACCTTTATTCTAGCAAAAGATTTAGATCAAGATGTGATATTAGGTACCCCCTTTATTACTCAAATTTACCCATTTAATGTAACCAATAAAGGAATTATAACCAATATTTTAGGACAAGATGTAATGTTTGAATTCGTAAATCCATCATTAATAAAAGATATTAGTAATTTAAAAAACGTTTCAATATCAGACAATTACAAAGAAAATTCTTTATTAAATGGTGGCCTAGTTTTTCCATCCAAAATGTTAGTCCACTAGTTTTGCAGATATGGATTTCTCAACACCCTCAGATATGTCAGCCTCAACAACAATCAACATTTCTAACAGAAAAATCAAAACTTCCGGCCGAGCTAGCTCAATGCCAGACCCCACAAGATACGGACAAAATTATTATGGCCATCGGATCTTCCTCTTCTCAAAAGGCAGATTCAGACAACACCAAATCTCCAAGTGATCAAGATGAGGATAAATATTTTGTCATGTTCCAAAACCAGATCAATTATGAGTTCAATAAAAGACAATAACTCAGCACCCAATGACTCAGCACCGCCTTTTTTCCAATTTTCAAAAGTTGCAGCTTGATATTCAAGACTTTTGGCAATGACAAAATTTTATCCAGCCGACTTTATCACTTGTTAGAAGTAAGAAGCAAAATTGTCAACATTATCTCGGCAAGAATTGAAGACATTCATCAGACTTATCCTTTTCCAAAGTATACAATTGTCAAGCTCCGCTAACAACAAACATGATTTTTCAAGAGTCCATTAATAAGAATTATCCTTTGTCTGCCATTTTCAGAGCAGGTCCTCAATAATTCAAGACACGTATCCAAGACAGCTTTTCACTTATCAACAACTTTATCTTTTAGTCTATATTGTAATAATGTAACGGATTCAAATGCTTTTGAAATCCGGTTTGTTGTAGTATAAATATGTATTACTTCAGTTGTATCGGTAGAAGTTTTGAGAGTTAAGTTTCAGACAANAGCACCGAGCCAGACTCCTGAATGGAACCTTACTAGACTCTCTTTATTATCTAATTTTTGTTTTGATATCCCACCATAACCTATATCAGAGGCATCAGTTTCTATAATAGGATAGGCTGAGGGATCCGATATACTAAGGCAAGGAAGGAATTTAATTTTGGATTTAATTTCTCTAACTATTTGGGTATGAGACTCAGACCATGCAAGAGGATTTTTTTTTTAAGTCTTTGATATATAGGTTCACACAGTTTTCTAAGGTCTTGGAAAAAATCTGTAAATAATTTTCCTGATGAATTAAGAGACAAAACAAAATTACAAAGTTTTTTAGGATGTCTAAATTATGTAGCAGATTTTTTCCAAGACCTTAGAAAACTATGTGAACCTTTATATCAAAGACTTAGAAAAAATCCTCCTGCATGGTCTGAGTCTCATACCCAAATAGTTAGAGAAATTAAATCCAAAATTAAATTCGTTCCTTGCCTTAGTATATTGGATCCCTCAGCCTATCCTATTATAGAAACTGATGCCTTTGATATAGGTTATGGTAGGATATTAAAACAAAAATTAGATAATAAAGAGAGTCTAGTAAGGTTCCATTCTGGAGTCTGGCTCGGTGCTCAAAAAAATTATTCAACCATCAAAAAAGAAGTTTTATCAATTGTTTTGTGCATTACAAAATTTCAAGATGATTTGATCAATAAAAGATTTTTGATTCGAACAGATTCTTCCGCATCAAAATTCATTTTTGAAAAAGATTTAAAAAATTTTGTTTCAAAACAGATTTTCGCTAGATGGCAAGCAATACTGTCTTGTTTTGACTTTGAAATTGAACACATCAAAGGACACAATAATTTATTACCTGATTTTCTTTCCTGTGAATTCTTACAGGGAAAGAAAAAGTTGAGTGACAAAGAGCGAGAGAGAANCTAATACTTCTGATTGTGTTGGTGAACTAGGTGGACTTGATGTGTTTTCATATGCAGGTTTTGGTACATGAGGGGCATAATTTACTCCTACTAATTTACTTATTGAAGTTGCTGACGAAGGCCTAGGTGTAACAATTTCTTCAATCCTAGGGTTGTGATGATTTTTGTTAGTATTGATGGGTTGATTTTGTTCTAAGGGAGTTTCTCTAAATTTTAATTTTATTATACCATTTGGTTCTTGTATTATTTATTGTATCTCAGATTCATTTTGATCATGTAAAGGTTTTGGAGGGCATAATTTTTCTAATTTCCAATCTGTTTGTTTAATAATTTCATCCCAAGCTAATCTTTTTGGTGTAAAAGTTTTATGTTTTGTTTTATCTACTTCCATAATAATTGTATGTCCTGGTGGGGACATCTTAATGGCTCTTGGACTAATTTTTGTATTCATAACTTTGTAATAAATCCTATATATTAATGCTACTGGTTGGGCTTTATCTTGATAAGTAAGATTAGCAGCTTTTAAATTAATAGTTAATGCAGACAATATTGTTGAATCATGTAATCCTATTGGAAAGTTTGGATAACAATCAAAATATACTGGACCACTTTGTAAATTAGAATTTAATATAGCTAATAAA